CCCCCTCTTACAAAGTGACAGTGAAACCAACTCTGTTTTCAGTGCAGGTCAGGCTGCGGACTCTTCACTTCCCAGCCTCCAGTCACAGCAGTCACAGATGGAGTCTCTCATAGTCTTCCTGTTCGTGATTTCTTGCTCTGTAGGTGAGTGAAAGAGAGTTTTTAAAAAAAAAAAAATTTTTTAGGTAAGTATAAATATGTGTAATGTGTTTAAATGTTGATTCCCATGTTGTGTTTGCAGGTTGAGCTCCTGTGTCTCTTTGTAGTCATTTTTTTTTCAGCATTTTTACAGCAGCATGTTTAATGATGTAACAGCTGATGTCAGATCCAGGGGTGGGGTGGAGGGATTTTAAAGTCCCAGAGTTCACCTGAATCTGGCTGCTGTAAGCTGCTTGTGTTTTGAGTCAGCAGCCACTTTGTGGTTTGTGTGTTCTTTGAATTGCTGCACGATGAGAACAGCAGCAGTCACTCTGGGTCTGAAATGGACACCATGAGATGTTACTTACACGAGATGTTGGACAACCTTTCCCTTTTAAAGTGTGTTTAACGGTGTAACTTTGCATTTTTATCTTAACTTTCTTCCCCCTGAGTTCTAACAGTGAAAAAACAAAAAGGGAAATGCGAAGTGAAAGCAAAACTTCAATCCAAGACTTTCTCTTTTGGTTGGGAGTGTTTCAGTTCTCCTTTCACTTCTGCTTTGGGTTTTAAGGAAATCCTTTATGTCACATAGCTCCAATGTGAGACCTCCCAGCATTAAAACATGACAAGGACAGCTCTGGACTTTGCTTATGTGATGAGTGGCGCTGAGTGTTTTGTGCTAACATATAAGATTTTCAAATTTATTGTAAAGAAGCTCATTCCAAATATGCCTCTAATAATTCCACAGCATAAAAATATTATATTAACTTGTGACTTTATTCATTGTGTATTTGAGTCTCTTTTTTTTTTTTTTGAAAATCAAGAAAACCAAAACTCCCATGCAGGAAGGTGGAGGGAGTCTGAAGTGATGTAAAGCTTGGATTAGCTGTCAAACACCTGGGGATCAGACAGATGTTTGACTAAAGATCATCTTTATTGAACTCGAACACATAAGCTTCATTTATATGAACGTTTATAATGTTGACACACTTGGTTCAGCTCAGGTTATCACTGACTGAGTGATATATTTAAACTTAAACTCATTTACTTAAATAAGTTTATTAATTAAGTGTTGAGTGTAAATTAAGTGCAGTACACTCAAAAAAGAAAGAAAATCTGCTTTTATTTGACTTTAACTACTTTAATTTCATTTAAATATATGAAACATAAAACAATATAACATCACACACATATATATTTTTTTTTTCAGGTAATTTTGTTACATAGGTTCAATTTAAATGTTCAATTTAATGGAATTTAGTCAAATGAAATTAACTTGATTCATTTTATACCAAGCACTCATAAATCCCACTGTCATTAAATGTGACACTGGCCACATTCTTAATGAGCAATTATTCGAATAAATAAAAAAAGGATTTTACATGTTTCAGTTGCATTTTAATTAAAATCATTGCTTTATGTTTAATAAGGGTGTATAATATTTATTTTTAGTGTGATAGACAATAAAATTGCACAATAATCAGGTACCTTTGAAATAAATAGACAACAAAATACAAAGTAAAGTAGCCAAAAGATACACTCAAAGTTACTTTCTTTCTTACCTGTAAAATTCTAACTTGTTAGTCTGTTATTTTAGTGCCCTGCAGGGTACATAATAATAACATAATTCAGCTAAAATACTCTGAAATTAAATTTAAATTAACGGAATTACACCTTGAGACTGGTTTTTACACAGTCAAGTAAACATAGTTGGAGATTATTTGATGCCAAAGAAACTGCAACTAACTGAGAGAAGCCTAGCAGACAGCCAGCAGCTACAGCCCTGTGTTAGGGATCGTATTATCGTAATCAAGTATGTCTCCGATTGTAAGCCTCTGCCCACACAAAGCTGTTACAGAACGTGAAATTAGTACAGAGACCAAAACTGGTTTTTATGGTCCATAAACATTTTAACACGGTGCTCTGTGAGGACTGACGAGCAAAGAGCCTCAAACTGCTGTTTGGGGCTCTTTGTGTTGTCTTGATTTTTCAGCCACAAATTCTTATCAAGTGCTGTTAACAGTTAAAAATGTTTTAAAAATTTAAAAAGGAGTTACATTTTAAAAAGATTATTTTCTTTCCTTCAGCTCTGCAGCAGGATGTGCAGGCGAAGTTTGGAGAGGACGTCACTCTCCAGTGTCAGATTACTACAGATGAAAGAATCTCAGTGGTAAAGTGGAGCAGACCTGACCTGAACACAGACGGCTACGTCTACTTCTACAGGAACAAACGCTTCTATGAAAACTACCAACATCCATCTTTTCATGGCCGAGTGAAGCTGAGGCACCCGGAGATGAAGGATGGAGACGTTTCTATAATCCTGAAGAACGTCACGTTTAATGACACTGGGATGTATGAGTGTCACATAGCTGTGAGGAACCCTGTGAGAAGTAAAAGAGCTCACACTGAGATCAGTCTCTTCATTGACCTCACAGTCACAGGTGAGTTTGTGGAGCTCACGCTCAGCTCCCACATCATAAAAACCTCAAAACATAAAAGCGTGAAATTACAAACTAAAAATCTAATGATTGATTATTTGTTACTTGGCAAATAGACAAACAAAAGCCAGCGAGCTAAAACTCATCAACAGTTTCTTCTTCTCTCTTCTTTTAGTGTTAAGTCTGAAGGGTAGAGTCATTAGCATGCTACTAACACAGATGCTAAACATTAAACCACTCTTGAAATTCTCTGACAGCTGATGTTCTCTCTGCAGGTGAAACAGATGAAAAGTTGTTGCAGCAGCAACTCGTGGAAAGTGAAGCTGGAAACGTGCAGGATGTGGGAGATGTAGTAACTCCGACTGTTAAAATGGTTGTTTGTTTTGTTGTGGTTGCTGTTATTGTTGTTGGTTTTCTGACATTATTCATATTTAAAAGAAATAAGAAGCAGCTTCCAGTCCAGAGTAATACAGAGGAAGTCGATTTAACATGTCCAGAAATATAATTTTATAAAAAGAAAATTTACAGATTTCATCGATAGCAGCTTTGCCAGGAGGCTAAGCAACATGGACTTCTAGTTTAAAAGTGAAAAATAGGAAATAACAAACTGTTCTGTGGTTATCAAAAACATAACAGCTCTGCAACTAACTTACTTAACTTAGCCCATGACTTGGGGTGAGGTTGACGAGGCAGACTGGGATCAGAATTGGGATTCACAAGTTCTGGAAATGAACAGAAAATAAACATAATAAAATAAAAAGAAAATTCTGAAAAAAAGACTTGTTACAACAAACAAGTTACAATAACTTGTTTGTTGTTTGTGTACTGTCATCAGTCTGTGTTTGATGTTGATCCAGGATAATGTGAACCAACAATCCTTGTATCCTCACGCAAGTTTGCACAAAGTCGTATGGTGCTGTTTAATAACAAATGTGTTGTTAAACAAGTGGTCACCTGCTGCTGTTAGCTCTTTTGATCTTTTTTTTGTAAACGCTGTATACTGGTTTGTTCTGGTTTCTTTCGGTCTGTTGTGTAGTACTGTTCATCTGCCCAAATTACCAGTATGGGGTTCAGAAATGTCTTGGCCATCAAATTATTAATTAATAATTATGTTTTTAATAAAAAAGAATAAAAACTGAAAAAGGAAACACAGAATGTGTCACAACTTTCTTTCAGATGCAAATTTAGCTCACTCAAGCTTTTAATTAACTGTTTAAATTCAATCAAGTAAAAAAAAACTTCACACATTCACTGAAATACAACATATGACATGATGTACAAACAGGGTGTGTGATTTTTGCAGACCTGCGGACTGTCAGGGAGATTTGATGCTGTGAAGAGAAACGGGTATGTGTGGCTTTCGGAGCGAGGATGATGATGTTGGGTGAACACCCACAATAACAAAAGGTCTGTGGATGAAGGTGACCAAATCCCATCTGATCCTCATTTGTGCTGCAGGAGTCACAACACTTTGATTCAAAGCAGGTCACACAAGAACCTCAAACTATAGAGAAATGCCCTAAACTCAACAACCTCCAAAACTCAATCGAAAGAAGTTTCTGTTTCTGTAACATTTAACAGAAATAAATCCTCTTATGAAACGGTGTAAGTGCTGAAAGTCTTAGAAACTGTCCTGAAATATTACCTGACAAAGCACAACTCAGACTGAGGAGACGTACAGCATCATGGAGTGGAGCACTGACTGCACGGAGCAACAGACTGGCTACAGGACAAGAAGAGACGATCACAAAGCACTAAAAGCTGACACAGGAGCCTGATTACCACCCAGCCTTCAAATACTGCAGCTAAAGACGGAGCACACCTGGAACTAAGAACAGCCACGACTCTTCTGTCATATGAAAGAACTCATTGAAAACCACAATGATCTCTGAGCCATGCGTTAAAGTAAATCAGAATCTATTTCTGTAATATAATCAGATTTTAACTCCCATGAATGCAACTGAATTTGTAAAACAGAAAAAAAATATTACGTACAGCTCACAAAGAGCAGTTTGTTACACCAGGTATTAAAAAAAGAACATTTTACTTCTGAGAAAATGTTAACAGATCATTTTGTTTTATTTATTTATAACTGCATTGATTCTGAAATAGGAACTGTTTGCAGTATAGAGTGACACTTTGAATAATCATGTTTGGTTTGAATGATGGGGAAGTTTGTATGACTCATTATTGTTTATATTAATGTGACACTTTTATGCTTCTGCGGTTAATAAAGGGGAGATGTGAGCTGTAACAGATGTAATGTTCTCTCTCTTCTTCTTTCATAATAAGTTTGGGTGTAGGTGCTGCATTGTCTCCAAACTGTTGTCACAGATGAATTGTCTCAAAGTCCTCCTGATTTCATTTCTAATTCCTGCATCTACAGATGAGTGAAACTTTTTTAAATAAATGTATTTAGCATAATTCAGAAGAATCTTGTAAACTTGTTGATTTTTGTGTTTTGTTTTGTTTTTTGTTTACACAGGTCAAATAGTCCAAAATATGATTTCCTGTGTCTTTTCTACATTTTTATAGATCTTGGATAGAGATCAGACAAAATAAGCAGTGCAGATCAGTGAGGTGGAAAACACCTACACACACATAACTGTCTGCAGTTCTTTGCAATATTGTGTTGCTGCAGTGAAACGAACAAAAAAATCTGTCATATCTATATACAGCTCATCAGTCCATTTTTGCACCAGCCGTTGTGTAGTCAGGAGAAGCAGGCATGATTTTCCATAGCTATCAAAACTGAGTTGTTTTGGAAAAATCAAGGTTAAAGTTAAAATGCAAAGTTTACAATGTTAAGCACACTTTAAAGGGCAAACTTCTCCCCATCTGTTAGAAAAATCCAGAAAAACTTTAGAGTAACACAAGTAATATCAAAAACAGAAGTGAAAACAAAATTGGCCTTTTTTTTGCCACTTTATAGGAAATTCCCTGACGCAAGTACAGATATAAAAAAGAAATAAAGGTCATCTCTATGAAGGTTCGACCTGTATATGCGGCTCCCAGCGCTGCTCAAAATATAATTGACTCATGGAGTCAGTTATAATTATTACTAATTTTACGACATGTGATGTTGCATACTGCTAACTCAGCTTAAATAACTTCTGTGGACAGCCATCCCTCAAACTTAAAGAAAAAGACCATTTTTGTTTGGTTTATTATTTCTTTGTAATGATGCCTCTTGGAAAAAAAAAATCTTATACTGTTGGAAAGTCTGTTAAATTCCCTTAGCAGCAGAGTTGAGTATTTCGGTCGAGCCCATGAAAAATTTACTAAACCTTGTCGGTCAAACAGTTTGTTTTGCTCTTATTTGGTGTCATTTATTTGGAAATAATCAACCAAAACCAAACACAAATTTCCTTCTGTGCTAACTTTATGTGATGTGAATATTACTAGGGTGACCTACTGTTTCACCACAGCTGGGAGGACACACACCATGCTGTGTCTAATATAAATCTTATTTTGATCATATCTGCACTCCTGTCAGTTTTATTTGACCAGAGCAGGTTGAAATATGGCAGCTTACACTCGTGAAACAGAAGCAAGAAGAAACGTGCAAAAGTTCAGCTGCTGAAGTGAATAAATGTCAGTTATTCTGAGATAAAATCTTGTTGTTTTTTTTCTTACTATTTATCAACTTCTTTTGACTGCGACTATGTTGTATTTTTGTTGCATTATGTTGCAAGTGGAAAACTGGTTGTGATGATGCTCTTGCTTGTGGTGTTTGAGAACTGCTAACATCCTGGCGTAACCACATCTTCCCTTTTTGAATCCTAACAGCTTTCAGCTGCCTTTACTGCTTCACTCTCTCCATCCACTTGTCACAGATGGCTTCTTTAATAATCCTCCTATCTTTGTCTCCAATTGTTCCATCTACAGGTGAGTGAAAACATGTTTTTATTTTCAGTAACATTATTTAAAGTAAAGAGTCATTCATTAAACTCAAGTGTTTAATGTTGAAACTGCAGATGCTGTTGACCATAGCTGGACTGGCCATCGGGCATACCAGGCATTTGTAGCCACAGCCACCCTGGGGCGCCTCTGTCAGTGCGCACCAGGGTGGCTGTGGCTACAATGTAGCTGCCATCACCAGTGTGGGAATGTGTGTGTGACTGGATATGTAAAGCACTTTGGGGTCCTTAGGGACTAGTAAAGCACTGTATAAATACAGGCCATTTATCATTTTTCGTTTTTATGGGCCGATGGGGTTTTTTTTTTCGTTTTTTTCCGTAACGGTATAAACACTGAAAGGTGGTGGATTGGCCAGATGCTGGGAGATGTGTAAAAATAACTCAATTGTTTGGTGGTGGCTATTGCGGAGCTTTCACAGATTGAGTAACATTAGCAAGTGGTGGAGGCCAGCAGGTGCAGCACACTGGCAGGTGGATGGCGGAAAGGTGAGGCGGGAGGAGGAGAGACCCGAGGCGGCCGCCGGTGTCGGTCCGAGTGTCAGGTGAACTGAACTTCAGGTGAGAAGTTATGACCTGCAGTCTGGCTGGGCAGTAGTGGTTTTTGATACGGGCGACACGGGCTGTTGCCCGGGGCGGCATCACGGACATCGGCAAAAAAAACCCCCAAAAGAATAAATAAAACAAAAAGTACAAAAAAAAAATGCTCGTACTCATGCTGCCCCGACGTCAGCCAGCGCATATTGGGAATGGCATAGGCACCGATCGGTTTTCTATCGCCCATTTGCTGGGAGTAAGGACGCCCTTCGTTTGCGAGGTGCGCCTGCTGCTTGCTGCACAGGGAGGAGAGGGCGGGGCGGCGGGGATTCTCTGGCTGGCTGGAGCAGCATCTAATAACCAACTTGCAAAATAAAACAAAATAAAAACAAAACAACAAACACGTAAACATCAGACATTATAATACAGACTTATAATTTGCATCTATGTTTTTTCGAAATTCTATACGCGAAAAGTGAGCGCGAGAGCCCTCGGTGCGCCTGCTTGCTTCTGAAGTCAAAGTAAACTTCATTGTCATCTCCGCTACATACAGTCCAGTATATAGAGAGACGAGACAACGTGGCTCCAGTTACAGCAGTGCAAGTAAACAAACAATAAATATAAGAAGAGTAAGAAAATAAATATACACTTTAGGACTCAGGGTAAAGGGATCAATAACAATTTAAAATTTATAATTTACAGTTTGATGATTTAAATCGATGTTGCAAATCCAAGCCCGTTATGTATTTATGACGGGAATCCTGGGTTGTGTGAAATCCCAGAAATGCACCCTAGACAAAGTGAATCTGTGAACTAAAGTGTAGGTCTATTAGGTTATGTTGGGGTGATCCTCAAGTTGGGGGATTTGTGTTCATACTGGAGTGCAAAATTAAAACCAATGGAAGATGGACAAGAAAAGTTCAAAGCCATCAGGTCCTCAGTTTAGAAAAAAGAGAAAAGAAGAGGAGGAGAAACGAGCAAAAGATACAGGTAAGCAGATGTGTGATTGGATAATGGCAGGTCATCCTGAAACAATCAGAATTAGAATACTTTATTAATCCCTAAGGAAATTATGTGCGTTACAGTTGCTCCAAGAAGAAATGGTAAAAATAGCAACAGTAACAGACTAAACTCCAAACAATACAATATGTTACAGATTTTAATATTAATTAGTGATTGTCAGTTGTTGATTTGTCCCGTTCTCATATGACGAATTATTATGGCTGTTTGGTAGCAGTTTGCATACAACTCTCTCTTCTTGTGTGTGTGTGTGTGTGTGTGTGTGTGTGTGTGTGTGTGTGTGTGTGTGTGTGTGTGTGTGTGTGTGTGTGCGTTTCTCTGTCAAAATTCAGTATGGATTGGGGGGCAGAGGGAGTGTTCGCCCAGGGCGCCAAACAGGCTAGTATCTGCAGACAAACCGCAAACCGCCACTGTATATGGTTCAGATATGAACCAAGTTTAGGTGGAGTTTATTTTCGTTATGCTGACTTTTTTACAGTCAGTTACAATAACTCGTACTGCGTACTAGCTAGCATGATGGAGTTTATATACAGCTAGGCGGGTGCTATGATGTTAATGATGTTGAAATTTATTTTATTCATAAGGTTAATTAGTTTCCAACCCTCCCGTAAAAAAACGGAATCGTCTCGTATTCAGAGAAAATATTCGTACACGATTTGTCCTGGAC